ACGACAAAGATGATGAGGCTGATTATGATCAACAAACCCTGGTGGCTGCCGCATGTAAACCTCCTCTTCAAGCAACCCATGGAGAAAAGCATTCTGCACATCAAGATGTCGAAGAGACCAACCACGAGAGACTGCAAGAGACAAAAGAAGCCGGATGGTAGTAGGTTTAACAACCGGGCTGAATGTGTCCTCGTAGTCCAGACCCTGTCGCTGCTTAAACCCTCTAGCCACGAGACGCGCCTTGTAGCGCTCAATAGATCCGTCTGCATGTCTCTTGACTTTGAAAACCCACTTCGAATCAATAACGTTGACACGAGGCGGAGGAGGAACCAATGTCCATGTCTTATTATGAAGAAGAGCGTTGTACTCTTGCTCCATAGCTGCCCGCTAGTGAGGAATACTCATAGCAACCTCATAGTGGTGTGGTTCATCAATGGGATCTGCAACAGTATGAGCAAGACAGGCAGCCAAATATGTGACAGTACCATCATGACGCTGCTTGGGCTTGACAATATCGCTGCGGCTTCGAGTATGCGGGCGTTGCAGTGCAACGGGAACGGGATCCGGCGGCGCCAACATGGGAGAGGAGGAGGGCAGAGCGGGCGACGGGAGCCCAGGCGAGGGCTCAGGCGAGTCATCGGTAGGCCCAGCCGACCCAGGCGAAAGGGGCGGCAGGGACATACGAGCTGTCGAAGAAGGCGAGGACGGAGGCGAGTCCAGGCGTGGAGGCGGGGACGGAGGCCGCTCGAGCCGCCCAGGGGAGAGCGGCGGGGTCATGGGCCGCGCCTCAACTGTCGTGGACCGTGCCTCGGATGATACCGGCCCAGTGTCAGAGACCAGCGCCGGTCCAGTTGCATGGATGGGCACGGCGCCAGAGGCGGGGTCGACGACGGGTGCATGCACGTGCACTGACCGGTCAACATGCGTGACGGGAGTTGTATCCGGAAGAAGTTCCAGGCGAGCACCACGTCCAACACCTGCACCATGGTTAGGTAACAACACAGGCGAATATGCAACATCTTCAAATTGGACAAGCATAAGAGGAGATGAATGCATAGATGGTGGTGTGGAAGGTTGTTGCGGCATGGAGGAAAAGGGGAAGACGTTCTCATCAAAGACAACATCACGAGATATATAGACACGATTTGTTGGCACATGAAGGCACTTGTATCCTTTATGAAGAGAGCTATAACCTAGAAATACACATTTCTTAGACCGAAATTCAAGCTTTCTAGAATTATAGGGACGAAGATGAGGCCAACACGCACACCCGAACACCTTAAAGAAGGTATAATCAGGAATTTCATGTAGAAGGAGCTCAATAGGAGTTTTCATATTAATGGTATGCATAGGTAGACGGTTAATAAGAAAATATGCTGTAGCAAAGGCATCACTCCAAAAACGAAAAGGTACAGACGCATGAGCCAGGAGGGTGAGTCCGGTCTCAACTATATGTCGATGCTTGCGCTCAACAGCGCCGTTCTGCTGATGTGTATGAGGACATGATAAACGATGAGAGATCCCAAGCTTATTAAAGAAAGCATTGAGGTTGCGATATTCGCCCCCCCAATCAGACTGGACATGAATAATCTTATGCTTGAGAAGACGTTCTACATGCACTTGAAACTGAATGAATATATCAAACACATCAAATTTGCGCTTAAGAAGATAAAGCCAGGTAAACCGACTATAGGCATCAATAAAGCTAACATAATAGTTGTGACCACTCACAGAAGTTTGAGCGGGACCCCACACATCAGAGAACACAAGTTCAAGAGGACTCGTTACTTGACGAGTAGAAGAAACAAATGGTAACTGATGACTTTTGCCTTGTTGACAGGCATCACACACGGACATCTCCTTATTACTAGACTCAATAGGCAGCTCATGACGGTGAAGTATATGACGAACTATGGGAGTGGCAGGGTGACCAAGGCGAGAGTGCCACTGGGACGGCGACACACGAACACCACTGAAGACGCGCGGGGCGGATGAATCCTCCAAGCGGTATAAGCCATGGCTGAGACGACCACTAAGCAGAATTTCCCGGGTGGCTCGATCCTTAACAAAAAGATCAAACGGGTGAAATTCACATAGGACATTGTTATCACGAGTGAGTTTGGGAATAGATAATAGATTAAGAGTCACCGAGGGGACCCGTAAAATATTACGAAGATGAAGCTGCCTAGATGGATGACTAGTTAAGAGAGATGCTTGACCAACGTGAGAGATGGGCATACCTACACCGTTGGCGGTGTGAACCTTGTCGGGACCGTAATATGGCTGATGGGTGGACAGCTTGGTGAGCTCGTTCGTCATATGATTCGTGGCGCCAGTGTCCATATACCATGCATGATCAATCGGATATGACGATGTATAGCCGGGGTCGACGCGTGTATCCTTGCTCTTGGCAGCAACATGAGCAGCAGGAGGGCCAGAGTCCGCCATGGCAAACTGTCGCTCATTACCTTTTCCATCGTTGCCAATACCCAGTTAGCTCCTCTGAAACCTCCTGTGGCACTGGAGGCGACATGCCTCTCACGCCCGCAAAGCTGACAGCGTACAGGGCCTCCGCCCGAGGATGGCGCTGGCGGGTTGGTGACGCGGGCAGGCGACGAAGACGCAGTGGAGCGCTGGCCACGCGAGGCCCAGTAGGCCGCGGGCTGGTCGGCGATGGAGTTGGTGGAGCGGCGAGCTTCGATGCGTTGCTCGGTGAAGAGCAGCCGGGAGAAGAGCTCGTGCGGTGGAAGTGGTGGCTTGGCGTTGTGGACGGCTTCGGCAAGGTTGTCGTAGTCAGCATCAAGGCCCTTAATCAGATAGCCGGCGAACTCCTCATCACTCAATGGTCGACCGATAGGGGTCAATGTATCCGCCAGGACCTTGAGTTTGTTGAAGTATGTTGTGGCCGAGGAGTCCAGTTTCTTGACATCATCAAGCTTGCTGCGAAGAGCCATCGCGTGAGCAGTGGAGGTCTGGGCAAACGCATGTTCCAGAGTCGTCCACGCATCCAAGGAGGAGGCAGCAAAGAGACAAAGTCCAGCGACCCCGTCTCCAAGGGAGCCCTGGATGGCGGAGAGGATCGCTTGGTCCTGTTGCACCCACAGACGGTGCGCCGGGTTGATGGCCGGGCCGTGGACGGTGTGAAGGACCTGCGGCGGACACGGCAGAGAGCCGTCGACATAGCCAAGGAGGGAGCGGCTGCGGAGCAGCGGTAGAACCTTGGCGTGCCAAAGCATGTAGTTGTCCGGCGTGAGACGAGTCGTGATGAGGTTGTCGAAGTGGAACGGCCCGGGGTTCAGGGCAGCGTCGGTGGCAGCTACCGCGGAGACCGCCGGGGCTGGGGGTGTCACACCCGCACGCTGGTCGTCAGAGCCCCCCGAGGCCACCGACATGATGGCGAGTGTCGGGGACGAGCCAGCGGTAGCCGCCGGTGGCGCGGACATCGCGGCGGGGGAGGCCGCCACGGTCGACGGCGCAGGAGACGGCGGGATCGGGGCGGAAAACAGCGAACCCACCGCCGCGGTGCCGAAGAAGTGCGGCGTCGGCGAGGCACCAGTGCGGGCAGGAAGATTCAGCAGGGCGGCCAGCGAGGCGGGTATGGTCCCGGAGCTGGCAGAGTTGGAGGCGGAAGCAGTCATTGCAGCAGCGACGGCGGCGGCCCTAGGGTTTGGGGCACGGCGGCGGCGGCGGCTGAGACGGAGGTGGAGTAGGTCCTAGGTTTAGGCTGATACCATATTAGACGTAGGATTTGTGGGAACTGGCTCAACCCTCTAGGGGTGGCCTATCACATATATTTATAATGATACATGATACATATTACACAGTTGGGCTACGTTACAAAGTCTAACACACCCTACCTTTCGAATCAAGCTAATTCACCGCATAGCAGTTCTCGAATGAACGTTGGCTCCATATTATTTCCAGTTTTCATTTTTCGTGTACAGAAAAATATATGTAGATTAATTTATTTATTTTAATCCTGAGTTGGCTACAGTTTTATTTCGCTTCAAGTTCCAAGCCAGAAGATGGCGGCCCAACCAAGCAGAGCACAGGAACGCCGTTGAGGCCTCAGACAAGGAGGAGGAAGAATATGGACAGGAAATAGTTGGAACGTGATGGACGAAAAGGAGAAGATCCCTGCCGTTTATTCACATCCAACGTCTCAGGAACTGGTTAACCCAAGATGAAAATGTTTTTCTATTGAGCTAGATTCTTGTCTTTTTGCAGCCTTCCCTGCCCTATATATAGGTCTCTCGCGCTTCCGAGATTCTTCGTAGAAGCGCGGTTGATTCGCATAGCCAGTGCTCACGAGCATGCACTGCGTGTGACACGAACACAACGACCGGTCCATCACAAGCATACAATAGATACATACGTGTGTGATTGTAAGCTAGTAGTAGTACCAATCTCTCGATCGACCATGCCTGCCTCCGCCGAGGTCGCTACCACCAACGACCCGCCTCTGGTGGACAGCTATTGTGCGCTTCTCCTCGGAGGCGAGCTTGGAAGCAGCAGCGGCTTTGTGCCCGCGGCGCAGGCGCTGTCGGCGGAGAGCCTGACCGTGCTCCAGCGTGACCTGCCAACGATCGACTTGAAGCGCCTGACGAGCGGCGACCCGAGGGAGAGGGACGTGTGTGCCGACGCCATGGCGAGCGCGGCGTCGGAGTGGGGGTTCTTCCAGGTGACCAACCACGGCGTGGGGCGGGAGCTCCTGGAAGAGATGAGGCGGGAGCAGGCGGTGCTATTTCACCAGCCGTTCGATACCAAGGAGAAGGCCGGACTCGTAGACGGCTCGTATCGGTGGGGCAACCCGACGGCAACGTCGCTCCGTCAGCTTTCCTGGTCGGAGGCCTTCCACGTTCCGCTCGCGAGCATCTGTGGGGAAGACTGCGTGCACGCACAGCTCAGCTCCTTGAGTTTGAGGTAGGTACGTAAGCAAAGCATGCCTTCATGACGTCAGATGGCTGATGAGCAAAAGTTTTCATGCGAGCAGGGGAGTGATGCAGGAGGTGGCGGACGCCATGTCGCGGGTGGCGGACACGGTGGCCGGGACGCTGGCAAAGAACCTCGGGCACGCCGGGTCGGCGTTCCCGGCAGCCGCTGGGTGCGACGGGACGACATGCTTCCTGCGGCTGAACAGGTACCCGTTGTGCCCGTTCGCGGACACGTTGGGCATGGTGCCACACACGGACAGCGACTTCCTCACCATCGTCTGCCAGGACCAGGTTGGGGGCCTGGAGATCATGAACGACTCCCACTGGGTCGCCGTGAAACCCCACCCCGACGCGCTCGTTGTCAACGTTGGTGATTTGTTCCAGGTAATAACAACTAATTCCCGGACGCCAACTTCGCCCCCATATATATATAGGTCCGTACGTAGCATTATTTCGTGTCCGTATCGAACAAACTGACGAGGTATCTTTTGTTCTGCTATTATAGATTGGTTCTGTGAATTATTTGTTTGTTTCAGGCATGGAGCAACAACAGGTACAAGAGCGTGGAGCACAAGGTGGTGGCCAACTCCAAGGCGGAGCGCTTCTCCGTCGCCTACTTCCTGTGCCCGTCGCATGACTCGCTCATCGGCACATACGGCAAGCCGTCGCCGTACAGGCCGTTTACCTTTGGAGAGTACAGGAGGAAGGTGCAGGATGATGTCAGGCAAACGGGGAAAAAGATTGGGCTCCCCAACTTTCTCAAATGTTCTACGATAAGTTGAAGACCTGAATGACATCGTCGTATGAGCTCAGTCTCACCAGCAGGTGCAGTTTGGCATCGGAGGAAAATTCCTTCTTTATCCTTTCTACATACCGCTATCAGTGCATAATTTGTCTTCTGAAAGTCCAACATGTTTATCTTTAATCAAGATTGAAGAAGTGTATTCTAAAATTTTCCTTGAATTTCAAAGGATGGGCCCGCTGGCTACACCGTAATCCTATCAAAATTAAGTAAACATCCGTTTTGACGTTCCAATGCCCCCCCCCCCCACCCCCCACTAAATTAAAAGTCATAGTTTTCCAATGCAAATATGTTCTTATGATGTGCATGGTACGCGTACCGACGGCCTCTTTTGTA